CTACCTTCGGGCACGGTTCCATTGTTGATCTCTCGCAGTCTGTTATCATGCTTCCACTTCGTGAATTGAATCTCACTCTCATCAAAGGGTTCACCAAGATTCTGAAGCAAAAAAGCTCTAATATAAGCTGGCCAGACCAAAACAAGCATGTAGAATTCTTGTTTTGTTAACCTGCTCCATGAAAGGATTATTGCAAATTTATCACAATGAAACACTATTGTATCTTTATTTTTTGAATTTATCTTTTTAGACTTTGCAATCAGCCCAAAAACCAAAAAAACATGCAGGATTACCTTAGCCTAAATGAGAGTTCCAAATTTGTCCATTCTGATATGAGGAGGCTTGGTGGCTTGAATTACCTTACAAATGTGAAATGGCTAGTAAACAAAAATATTTTTACTCTAACTATATTATTGAACAATGCTAAAAAAATTATATGGACATGTAAGCTCTTACAGATGGTGCCCCAAATGAACATGAGAGCTGCATAAAAAAGAAGTCAGAAGCAAATAATCACCTATGTTGTTATATTGCAAATATCTACTTGGATAGATTTGTATACAACATAATCCAACTTTTAATTTTTTTTATTTTTCGAACCACATTCTCAAATGCTACAAAAAGATTAGGAAAAGAACTACTAGCACAGTAGTACCACATGATGATGAAACTCAATCTAATATAAAGAAAACTTTATAGCAACAGATTTACTATTTAAGTCTTTCTTATCTGATACCTCCACTTAAAGCTTGTTGGCCAACAAGTTCTTGCAGTCCTGCAGTCCTTAGAGATGAAAAGATTGAGCATCCAGATGAAAATTCATTTCACCATTAACAAAATGTAACATACATCAACTTATGAAGTTTCACAACTTCAAAGTTACAAAAAACAGTGCCTGACTATGTACACAAACTAAGGGAACAAAAATTGGATAAGAACCAAAATTCCCAGAGCTTCATAATGATCCAAATACTTTAAATATGCAGCACCATATATCCCAAATGCTCCATCAACTTGCACCTGAGTATGCCTCATCCAAAAAAGCAGCCAAGCACGAGTATCCTAGTCCAAAAGCAGCCTCTGGTCACTTTTGCGATACTACTTAAATGTTATAAGTTAAATTACAATTAACTAAACACAATCTATATCTTGTGTTTAACAAAAAGTAGTTATATCATGTTTTAACAAAAAGACTAGGTTAACTAGTCATAATCTTCTTCATCCAAGATGGTTTCTTCTCCATCAGATTCAAAATCCTCTTCATCAAGCTCCCTTATTTCGTTTTCGTCACCTGTCAAAGTTGTTGTAGTTGAAGTCATTTCATTGATAACATCATCATCATTATCATCACAGCCTTCAACAATCCAACCCTGTGCATTACTAGCATCACAAGCCTCCAATTTGTCCTTTCTTTTTTTCCTATTCGCTAATCTAGCATTGAATTGCACATAAACAAGATTTTTCATCCTTGTTGAATCAAGACGGTTCCTCTTCTTTGTGTGAATCTGCATAAAAAAGTTGAATATTTTACAATAAAACACATTCCAAAGTTACTGCATAAAACCTACTCTTTCAAAGTTACTGCTAAATTTTTACAAATCCCAAAATACACATTCACAATAAAACGAACACTTTATTATATATCAAGATAAGAATATTTAAACACTTACTCCTTCAAAGGTGCTCCAATTTCTCTCGCAACCTGAAGAACTAGTTGTCAAACCAAGAATCCTCTTCGCCATGAATTTTAAATTAGGCGTTTCATTTCCATAGAAGTCCCACCAGGTTACTAGTAAAAGAACACACATGTGAATAAGATAAGAAAATATAAACCGGGGTACTTTTTAGAGTGAATCAGTCCATTTGTTAATTTTTGCATGGACTTGCAATATTTAGAGTGTATTCTTGTGATTAGATGCTGAACAAGATCAAAGTTAAATTGATAAGAGTTTGGGAGGGTCAAAAACTGCAATATTACAATGATCCATAAATCTAATTACCAGGTCAACAGATTCTCCATTTTTGCATGATAAATCTTAATAACATAAATCTCTATTAAGTGTGTTTGTTAGAACAGTCCACATGAGCCATATTATATATATGAATCAATAAATATATATACAAAAACCGGGGTACTTATTTAATAGTAATGTACCTGGATTGTAGCTTGAATCATTGTTTAGGCATCCGCTTATTGCTAATTTCCTTCCAAATGCACCTTCTTTTTGAGTATACTTTTGCAGCTCAACATTTATTACATGATGTTGCATTTGTTCATCAGGGAAAAACTTCTCAACACACGTGATCAGGTTATTTGTTACCAAACTGTCATCTTTAATACTAGGCCTCTTGAAGAAATAAAATGGGTTCAAAAGATAACCCGATGTATGAAGAGGACTATCAAGTCTATCTTCACTTCTTGAATCCATAATGTATAAAATAGGAAGATAGTCACATTCCCTCTTCAAAATATTTTTTATCTCCTCCTTGGCACTAAGCATCTCTCCATATACAAATCCCATTGATGGTTTATCATCTCCATCCACAAGTCTAAGAACTTTCACTAGTGGAGTGAAGACTCTCAAACACAACTCTATAGAGTTCCAAAAGTCATTATGGATAACAATATTAAAGGCTTCTTTTCCTTTCACAGTCTTGGACAGTTTGGTATTGTCCCATTCATGACTAGTCATCATGGTTTTCAACTCTTGCTTTTTTTCAAGCAAACTTTGTAAAGTCAAGAAAGATGAAGCAAATCGTGTTACCCCGGGGCGTACTATTTCTCTTTTTGTGAACTTCCTCATCAATGCCAAAGACTTGTGATGTGCATAAATAAACACAGTGAATGACTTTGCTTTCTGAATGACACCCTTAAAATTAGGAAGTTTGGAAATTGCTTCAAGCATGAGGTTGAAGGTGTGAGTGGCACAAGAAGACCAAAAGATCTTGGGCCTTTTTAATGACAGAAAACTTGCAGCAGCCATATTGTTGGAAGCATTATCCGTTACTACTTGAACAACATTTTCTTCTCCGATCTCTTCAATGCACCCATCAACATATTCAAATATATATTGACCTGTGTGAGAATCATCTTTCGTGTCTTTTGAAGAAAGAAATGTAGTTCCTAGTTTACAATTCACACACAAATTCATTATGCTTCTTTTTTTTCCATCACTCCATGCATCTGTCATAACGGAGCATCCATTACTTTTCCACTCTTCTTCTTGCTTTTTGAGCATTTCCTTTGTCCTTTCTACTTCCCCTTTCAAAAGTGTTTCTCGTAATTGATATTGAGAAGGGGGAGTATAACCAGGACCATATCGACCAAGAGCTTCAACAAACATTTTAAAGCTGTCATTGTCAACGGCATTAAAAGGAATTCCAGCTTCATACACCCATCGAGACAGATATTGATGAACTTCTAGTTCCCTTTTTTTGTTTATTGCATCATGCATATTCTGTTGTTTCATTTTCTTACTAGCACTCACTGATTCGTCAGTTACATTGATTGGCCTCAAAAATTCATCCATGGGACCTATAGTCGCAAAAGGCCTTTTCCTACTGTCTTTTTCCCGAGTCTGTGGTTCAACTTCTTCATTAAGATGTGAAGACAGAATGACATCCTCCCTCAATCTAGCATGACATAACAGTTTTTCTAATTTTTGGGACTTGTTTTGTTCCAGCGCTTCACGGCATTTTCTTTTTTGCTCTACACTGGCATTAGGACATGGTTTGACACCGTGTCCCTTGATCCCTGCTATGTGGAATTTGTGCCTATTTATTCCCGCATTTGTAATCTTTCCACATGGTATGCATCTCACCTCATTGTAATTGTCAGGTTTATTAGGAACAGCAGTTTCCCACCCAACATCCCGAGGATCAGAATCAGAATTTAACTCATTCCCATCAATGCCAGAAGAAGTATTTTGTTCCATTCCAGATTATCAAATCCTACCAGATTCTTAGACTGGAGGGGTTTTAAAAGCACACTATTATACATAAGCAGTTAAGCACAAGCACAAATGCACAATAAGCAGTGAAAAACCATAGTAAAAAAGTTAGTTATTACCTTTGTTGATAAAATCAGGTAGTCCCCAACTTAGGAGGATAAAAACAAATCAGGAAGATGTATTTGATTAAGGAGCAAACTGGAGCAACCTTAAGAAGCATAGAGCTGGGCAGGAACGAGCAGCTGAGGACTCAATCCCTTCTCGCTGCGGTTGACTTACATAGGGCGACGAGTGCGGCAGGGATGAGCTTCGATTATTTGGGGGAAAGACTTTTACTTTTCACTTCTTTGGAATGCTTCTTGGACTTCTGGGTTGATTCTTGATTATTAAAATCCTAGGGTTGGGAATTGATAATCCTCCAGTCCGTATGAAGTATTTGAAAGGGTGAGAAAAAATGAAGAGAAACTCTTCTCTGCGCTGCGTTTTGTCAAACAAAAATAGTGAACAGTGAGTTTTATCGCCTTTTACAACGCTTAGTGCCTATGCGAGGCTTTTAGGTGGCGCCTCACGCCTATGCACGCCTAGGCGGGGCCTTATGGAGCCTTTTAGAACACTGCTTCCAAGACGCATTTTTCGTAAAAATGAATGTGCATGTATATACTTTCAAAGTTTCAATATATGGTATTCCGTACGTAGCAATTATTAATTCGACCGCCCAGCCTAGCTCATTCTCCGAATCTCCGTAATTATTAAAGGACACTATGTTTAAACATAAAATAAAAGTTGACAACTTCGATACCTTTCTAAAAAATGGGGTATCGTACCTACCAATCATTTGATGGAACCACATCACTTTATCATTTTTAATTTAGATTTAAATAACTCAATTGCTACATTCTCATTGGTTCATGTGGACAGTACCATAGAATCTACCAAAATAAGATTGAATTTTCCAAAGAGAACCGTCTAGGCAACGGTAGGGCAATATTTACCGATCCAGTCTGGACACCATATATACCCTGCGGTAAAAAAAATGTAGCGGACTATGAACCAGGCTGGCTGGTATGGAGGAGTGGACGACCATCATCTGCGACAACATGGAGAGCCGCCATCGCCTGGAACTGCCATAGAGGTGTGGCAGCGAATATAAGTTCTCCTCCACTGTGCAGCAACGAAAGTAGGCGGCATTCCCCTCCCTTGCGACAGCGTATTCAGTGGAGAAACGTTGGTGAGTGGAGAGTGTTATGCCGGAAATCAAGACTTTGGTAGCGGTGGAATTGAACGCCCTTAGATAAGGAAAGTAAAAACTTTGACTTTGCTTTACAATCCTCAGGTATTTTCATTTACATGAAATTTAGAAATTAAGGATGATCAGTTTCGATCATTCAAATAGCATGTTAAAGGAGAGCACTCTTCAATCATCCTCAACCTCGATAATTGTTGCATGATATTATTTTGATTAATATGGTATTCCGTTGGATGATTGAAGAGTGCTCTCCTTTAACATGCTTAAAGTGTTTCTTCAATCATCCTCAACCTCGAAGGAGCTATTTGGCTTAGGGAATCATTATTATCCATTGGAATTGGAAAGAGGTCTTTTACTCATTTGGAGAATTCCAGGTCTTTTAAATTGTCTTATGAACATAATTTCTGTGGAGGCTTTGTTCGAATTATTGACCCTGGGAATTCTTTTACTTCACTTTGCATTCCAGAAGGCTGGAGAAGGTCGGGTTTTTCATTCTTTGAGTCTGAAATCTCTCATGCAATTAGGGTCTTGAAAGAAGTAAATCCTAAATTGCTAATGAATTGTCAAAGTGAACCCGGAATTCAAAGCAAATCCGACAAAAGCGGGTCTATCAATTTAGACGAGCTACAATTGGACAAAACGGAGTGTATTTGTTCAGATATCTCTATCTCTGATTTGTTATTCCAATCGGATATTGTTAACTTACCTGCTTGGGAGTTTCCAAGTCAAACAGAAAAGGCATCAACACTTTCAGCTATGGATATTCATTTCCAACACATGCAGTCCTTTATGCTACAGATTGATTCAGAGATTCAGAAATTAAATGATAAATGGGAGCAGCAACAACATCGGGATCTGCCTAAGCTTTTGCAGGAGGTTTCCATGGATGTGTTTGACAAGGTTTCTAAACAAAAAATGATTTTATCGAGTTCTTCTTCCCCTGATTTTCTTCTTTTGCAGGAATTCTTTGTTGAGACACTCGAGGAAGGAATGGTTAAAAGGGCCATTTCAAAAGTTGGGGAAGACACTTTAGATGATTTTTTGCACGCTCTTGATAGCGATGGGGTAGGTTTATATTTCCTCTTTGATGCTGCATCAGACTATCTAGAAGAAAAATACTCAGATCGCTCTACTACAGACAGATTCCTTTACTCAATTCTAAAGAAAGTGACTCCAGGTACAACCGGCCTTACACGGAAAAACTTTAAACATCTTATGCGTAACTCGGGACCACATCAAATTCTAAAATACAAGCTACTCAAAGATTACCCTACCTACAAGGAATCTCCTATTTACAAGGATGCACTGATTGAACCTCAACCCGAGGAAGATGATGGTTTCACCTCTGTTGTCTCCAGAAGAGACAAAAAGCGTAATGTCCCCTCGGTTAGGACCGTTCAATCTCGACAACAATTTATATGAGCTTAGGATGCTTTTGGGAGTTTCTCAGGGATTTTATGACAGGGAAGTGGGCTGATCTTCCTACGCTCTAGGATTTCTATAGCTTGAGGATTTTCTATGGAACCGGAATAGTCTCAACCAGCTCTAAATCTTTTTTCCTTTGCACCATCTTTTTTCATTAGTTGTTTACTTCATTAGCTCTTGTCTCTCATTATTGTCGGAGTTCAGTCCCATTTGGCTGAACTCACATTGGGGATTGTACTTTAACTTCTCTTTTAATAAAAGCCTTTTCTTGTTAAAAAAAAAAAAAAAAAAAAAAAAAAAAAAAAAAAAAAAAAATTAGTGCTTACAAATCTTAATATCCAAATTTTACATTATTTAAGGGCCTTTTACAAAAATTCGACTCGGGCCAAAAAAATGCTAGAATCGACCCTGATTGTAACGTTATTAATTCTTCAAAGGACATGGCAATAAAATTCAATTTAAAGTTTAAGCATGTATCCTTTAACAGAATTTTATTCATGTCCGGAATTCCTGACAGGAACCGCCGTCCGGACGGTGGCGTTTGGCCGCCTTCCCGGTGACATTTTTTGATGAAATTTTTATGGCATGTTCTCCATCAAATCTAGTTTATCCACACAAAAATTCAGCCAAAAACTCAATCGGGAAGGTCGTCAAATGATTTTTGCAAGTTAACTCGTCCGGAATATGTATTTTCCGGACCAGTTAACTTGCAAAAATCATTTGACGACCTTCCCGAATGAGTTTTTGGCTGAATTTTTTTGTGGATAAACTAGACTTGATGGAGAACATGTCATAAAAATTTCATCGAAAAATTCCATCCGGAAGGCGGCCAAACGCCGCCGTCCGGACGGCGGTTCCGGTCAGGAATTCCTGACCGGAAGAGTGCTCTCCTTTAACATGCTATTTGAATGATCGAAACTGATCATCCTTAATTTCTAAATTTCATGTAAATGAAAATACCTGAGGATTGTAAAGCAAAGTCAAAGTTTTTACTTTCCTTATCTAAGGGCGTTCAATTCCACCGCTACCAAAGTCTTGATTTCCGGCATAACACTCTCCACTCACCAACGTTTCTCCACTGAATACGCTGTCGCAAGGGAGGGGAATGCCGCCTACTTTCGTTGCTGCACAGTGGAGGAGAACTTATATTCGCTGCCACACCTCTATGGCAGTTCCAGGCGATGGCGGCTCTCCATGTTGTCGCAGATGATGGTCGTCCACTCCTCCATACCAGCCAGCCTGGTTCATAGTCCGCTACATTTTTTTTACCGCAGGGTATATATGGTGTCCAGACTGGATCGGTAAATATTGCCCTACCGTTGCCTAGACGGTTCTCTTTGGAAAATTCAATCTTATTTTGGTAGATTCTATGGTACTGTCCACATGAACCAATGAGAATGTAGCAATTGAGTTATTTAAATCTAAATTAAAAATGATAAAGTGATGTGGTTCCATCAAATGATTGGTAGGTACGATACCCCATTTTTTAGAAAGGTATCGAAGTTGTCAACTTTTATTTTATGTTTAAACATAGTGTCCTTTAATAATTACGGAGATTCGGAGAATGAGCTAGGCTGGGCGGTCGAATTAATAATTGCTACGTACGGAATACCATATATTGAAACTTTGAAAGTATATACATGCACATTCATTTTTACGAAAAATGCGTCTTGGAAGCAGTGTTCTAAAAGGCTCCATAAGGCCCCGCCTAGGCGTGCATAGGCGTGAGGCGCCACCTAAAAGCCTCGCATAGGCACTAAGCGTTGTAAAAGGCGATAAAACTCACTGTTCACTATTTTTGTTTGACAAAACGCAGCGCAGAGAAGAGTTTCTCTTCATTTTTTCTCACCCTTTCAAATACTTCATACGGACTGGAGGATTATCAATTCCCAACCCTAGGATTTTAATAATCAAGAATCAACCCAGAAGTCCAAGAAGCATTCCAAAGAAGTGAAAAGTAAAAGTCTTTCCCCCAAATAATCGAAGCTCATCCCTGCCGCACTCGTCGCCCTATGTAAGTCAACCGCAGCGAGAAGGGATTGAGTCCTCAGCTGCTCGTTCCTGCCCAGCTCTATGCTTCTTAAGGTTGCTCCAGTTTGCTCCTTAATCAAATACATCTTCCTGATTTGTTTTTATCCTCCTAAGTTGGGGACTACCTGATTTTATCAACAAAGGTAATAACTAACTTTTTTACTATGGTTTTTCACTGCTTATTGTGCATTTGTGCTTGTGCTTAACTGCTTATGTATAATAGTGTGCTTTTAAAACCCCTCCAGTCTAAGAATCTGGTAGGATTTGATAATCTGGAATGGAACAAAATACTTCTTCTGGCATTGATGGGAATGAGTTAAATTCTGATTCTGATCCTCGGGATGTTGGGTGGGAAACTGCTGTTCCTAATAAACCTGACAATTACAATGAGGTGAGATGCATACCATGTGGAAAGATTACAAATGCGGGAATAAATAGGCACAAATTCCACATAGCAGGGATCAAGGGACACGGTGTCAAACCATGTCCTAATGCCAGTGTAGAGCAAAAAAGAAAATGCCGTGAAGCGCTGGAACAAAACAAGTCCCAAAAATTAGAAAAACTGTTATGTCATGCTAGATTGAGGGAGGATGTCATTCTGTCTTCACAGCTTAATGAAGAAGTTGAACCACAGACTCGGGAAAAAGACAGTAGGAAAAGGCCTTTTGCGACTATAGGTCCCATGGATGAATTTTTGAGGCCAATCAATGTAACTGACGAATCAGTGAGTGCTAGTAAGAAAATGAAACAACAGAATATGCATGATGCAATAAACAAAAAAAGGGAACTAGAAGTTCATCAATATCTGTCTCGATGGGTGTATGAAGCTGGAATTCCTTTTAATGCCGTTGACAATGACAGCTTTAAAATGTTTGTTGAAGCTCTTGGTCGATATGGTCCTGGTTATACTCCCCCTTCTCAATATCAATTACGAGAAACACTTTTGAAAGGGGAAGTAGAAAGGACAAAGGAAATGCTCAAAAAGCAAGAAGAAGAGTGGAAAAGTAATGGATGCTCCGTTATGACAGATGCATGGAGTGATGGAAAAAAAGAAGCATAATGAATTTGTGTGTGAATTGTAAACTAGGAACTACATTTCTTTCTTCAAAAGACACGAAAGATGATTCTCACACAGGTCAATATATATTTGAATATGTTGATGGGTGCATTGAAGAGATCGGAGAAGAAAATGTTGTTCAAGTAGTAACGGATAATGCTTCCAACAATATGGCTGCTGCAAGTTTTCTGTCATTAAAAAGGCCCAAGATCTTTTGGTCTTCTTGTGCCACTCACACCTTCAACCTCATGCTTGAAGCAATTTCCAAACTTCCCAATTTTAAGGGTGTCATTCAGAAAGCAAAGTCATTCACTGTGTTTATTTATGCACATCACAAGTCTTTGGCATTGATGAGGAAGTTCACAAAAAGAGAAATAGTACGCCCCGGGGTAACACGATTTGCTTCATCTTTCTTGACTTTACAAAGTTTGCTTGAAAAAAAGCAAGAGTTGAAAACCATGATGACTAGTCATGAATGGGACAATACCAAACTGTCCAAGACTGTGAAAGGAAAAGAAGCCTTTAATATTGTTATCCATAATGACTTTTGGAACTCTATAGAGTTGTGTTTGAGAGTCTTCACTCCACTAGTGAAAGTTCTTAGACTTGTGGATGGAGATGATAAACCATCAATGGGATTTGTATATGGAGAGATGCTTAGTGCCAAGGAGGAGATAAAAAATATTTTGAAGAGGGAATGTGACTATCTTCCTATTTTATACATTATGGATTCAAGAAGTGAAGATAGACTTGATAGTCCTCTTCATACATCGGGTTATCTTTTGAACCCATTTTATTTCTTCAAGAGGCCTAGTATTAAAGATGACAGTTTGGTAACAAATAACCTGATCACGTGTGTTGAGAAGTTTTTCCCTGATGAACAAATGCAACATCATGTAATAAATGTTGAGCTGCAAAAGTATACTCAAAAAGAAGGTGCATTTGGAAGGAAATTAGCAATAAGCGGATGCCTAAACAATGATTCAAGCTACAATCCAGGTACATTACTATTAAATAAGTACCCCGGTTTTTGTATATATATTTATTGATTCATATATATAATATGGCTCATGTGGACTGTTCTAACAAACACACTTAATAGAGATTTATGTTATTAAGATTTATCATGCAAAAATGGAGAATCTGTTGACCTGGTAATTAGAATATTGCAGTTTTTGACCCTCCCAAACTCTTATCAATTTAACTTTGATCTTGTTCAGCATCTAATCACAAGAATACACTCTAAATATTGCAAGTCCATGCAAAAATTAACAAATGGACTGATTCACTCTAAAAAGTACCCCGGTTTATATTTTCTTATCTTATTCACATGTGTGTTCTTTTACTAGTAACCTGGTGGGACTTCTATGGAAATGAAACGCCTAATTTAAAATTCATGGCGAAGAGGATTCTTGGTTTGACAACTAGTTCTTCAGGTTGCGAGAGAAATTGGAGCACCTTTGAAGGAGTAAGTGTTTAAATATTCTTATCTTGATATATAATAAAGTGTTCGTTTTATTGTGAATGTGTATTTTGGGATTTGTAAAAATTTAGCAGTAACTTTGAAAGAGTAGGTTTTATGCAGTAACTTTGGAATGTGTTTTATTGTAAAATATTCAACTTTTTTATGCAGATTCACACAAAGAAGAGGAACCGTCTTGATTCAACAAGGATGAAAAATCTTGTTTATGTGCAATTCAATGCTAGATTAGCGAATAGGAAAAAAAGAAAGGACAAATTGGAGGCTTGTGATGCTAGTAATGCACAGGGTTGGATTGTTGAAGGCTGTGATGATAATGATGATGATGTTATCAATGAAATGACTTCAACTACAACAACTTTGACAGGTGACGAAAACGAAATAAGGGAGCTTGATGAAGAGGATTTTGAATCTGATGGAGAAGAAACCATCTTGGATGAAGAAGATTATGACTAGTTAACCTAGTCTTTTTGTTAAAACATGATATAACTACTTTTTGTTAAACACAAGATATAGATTGTGTTTAGTTAATTGTAATTTAACTTATAACATTTAAGTAGTATCGCAAAAGTGACCAGAGGCTGCTTTTGGACTAGGATACTCGTGCTTGGCTGCTTTTTTGGATGAGGCATACTCAGGTGCAAGTTGATGGAGCATTTGGGATATATGGTGCTGCATATTTAAAGTATTTGGATCATTATGAAGCTCTGGGAATTTTGGTTCTTATCCAATTTTTGTTCCCTTAGTTTGTGTACATAGTCAGGCACTGTTTTTTGTAACTTTGAAGTTGTGAAACTTCATAAGTTGATGTATGTTACATTTTGTTAATGGTGAAATGAATTTTCATCTGGATGCTCAATCTTTTCATCTCTAAGGACTGCAGGACTACAAGAACTTGTTGGCCAACAAGCTTTAAGTGGAGGTATCAGGTAAGAAAGACTTAAATAGTAAATCTGTTGCTATAAAGTTTTCTTTATATTAGATTGAGTTTCATCATCATGTGGTACTACTGTGCTAGTAGTTCTTTTCCTAATCTTTTTGTAGCATTTGAGAATGTGGTTCGAAAAATAAAAAAAATTAAAAGTTGGATTATGTTGTATACAAATCTATCCAAGTAGATATTTGCAATATAACAACATAGGTGATTATTTGCTTCTGACTTCTTTTTTATGCAGCTCTCATGTTCATTTGGGGCACCATCTGTAAGAGCTTACATGTCCATATAATTTTTTTAGCATTGTTCAATAATATAGTTAGAGTAAAAATATTTTTGTTTACTAGCCATTTCACATTTGTAAGGTAATTCAAGCCACCAAGCCTCCTCATATCAGAATGGACAAATTTGGAACTCTCATTTAGGCTAAGGTAATCCTGCATGTTTTTTTGGTTTTTGGGCTGATTGCAAAGTCTAAAAAGATAAATTCAAAAAATAAAGATACAATAGTGTTTCATTGTGATAAATTTGCAATAATCCTTTCATGGAGCAGGTTAACAAAACAAGAATTCTACATGCTTGTTTTGGTCTGGCCAGCTTATATTAGAGCTTTTTTGCTTCAGAATCTTGGTGAACCCTTTGATGAGAGTGAGATTCAATTCACGAAGTGGAAGCATGATAACAGACTGCGAGAGATCAACAATGGAACCGTGCCCGGAGGTAGATGATAATAAAGATGAGCTGGCACGATGATTGAGAGAGGCGAGCCGAGATCCATATGGGATGCCAGACAGATCATACTCGACGAGGTGGTAGACGTCGTCGAGTGTGGCGGCATCACTGAGCTCAATGCAAGCAACGAGCACGAAAACCAGAACCGTCACCGAGTAATAGACAGTGGCCAGAAGCTGGCAGCCTGATCCATGTACTTTATCATTGCAGAAGAGTTGGACAGAAAGTGTGAGGGTTTTGCAAGTTAGTTAAATAAATATATTTCTGCTGCTTGCTTTGAAAAAAGTAAACAATGCATTGTAGTGTTATGAAATTCATGGTGTTATTAGCTTGTTGCAGCTGAACCAAAAGAACCCATTAGTGATTAGGGGATTAAAAAGAGCTATCTCCTAATGAATTATCAACTTTCATGCTAATTAGTGTACTGATAATCTAGTTTTGTATAGTAAGAAAATTACCATTAGAACTCTGAACAGTCTGAAGTGATGATACTCATCTTGGAGAATTGATACATATGATAACTTGTGCAAAATAATTTACAATATTACCTTTATACTAATTACTAACCTTAGAAATATTAATTTAATGAAGTGTAGAACTAAAACGCCTTTTCACGCCTAGGCTTTGCTTAAACTCGCCTAGGCTTTAAAGGCTTAAGGCTCGATGTTCCCGCCTTCCCCCGCCTCAAGCCTTTTAGAACATTGTATATAACCATAAAAGTAATTGAGTGGTGTCAATTGATTCTCATTCTGTTTATACAGGTGGCGTCAAATTAATTTTTAGAAAATATACTTCTATATATATAACTATTTCCATCATTTGCAATGGAGCCAAAAATTCATTAGTTTTTGGCTCGAGAATATGATGGAATAAAGCAAAATGGCTCATTAAACTGTCTGCGCTTCTTTGTTATGAGTCATCAGTCCGTCCATTCAATTTTGGACGCGATTTTCATTATGGGTCATCCGGAAACAGTCTTTGTGCTTTAGTACAGGGGTAAGATTGCGTACATCCGACACCCTTATCCCACCATAGGTGGGAGTCTTTGTGGCACTGGGGTAAATGAAAATGAATGGATACTTCTATATATATAACTACGGAAAAAAAATGCGATGTTTGTTTGAAAAGTGAAACTCATTTACAAAGTCAGTTGGGGGGAATGGAAAATGAAGAGAGAGGATCTCTTCCATCTCTCTAAAAATTCAACAACAACTTGAAACCCATATGGAATTCTGGCAACCTGCATACCACCGGAATCAACACCACCTTTTGTGTATCAATTGCAACTGCACACATGGGACCTTTCATCACTACAGCAAAGGGTATAGAGACCAAAGCTACCAGCAACAGTGGGAAAATCCTCAGGGTAGCTCCCATGCTAGACAGTTCACGGGGAACAGAACATCTTCCACCCGAGCAGGTACAGGACTCTATCCAAATATGAACTCCCATAACTCGCGTAGCTCCACTTCCTACTCAACTCACAGGAATGGAAATAACGCCTATCACACGAGGCACTACGCACACAACCCAAGCTATCACAGTCCCTCGGCCTTATTTCCTATTGAAAACAGACCAAAACACGCCCTAATTACAGGGCCAAACTTACTGGGACGAAGACGAGATGCTCAGCGTCGTCAACAACATCAAACCCAAACAGGGAAAAACGATGGCTGGAGCACCGTCATATACAGGGATCGACGACACCCCCTCCATCCCAATCACAGACTCTCATCGCTCCAAAGCACCGAGTCTGAAATCAACAGGACAGAGGGTATCAATAATCGCTACCATCGATTACAATTCGAAAATGAAACCCAGCCCTTCGAATACGATTTTGACTCCAAGACATCGGACCTGGTAAACGAAACACACAGAGCTAGAGAAGAGCGCAGTCTATTTGTGAAAAATATAAGGTGAGACAATCAAAATGGAAGCCAAACGAGACCGCCAGTATACGGTGGTTCAAGACCGGCGACCACCGCGCTGGTCGTCCCAACCGTCTCATCATCTGGTCCCTCGGCTGAGAAAATCAACGTCACACAGCTGGTTCCATACATCGACAGTCTGGATGTCGAGGAAACGTGCCCAGCGGGTACCACCCAACTCACATGGGCTGACGTTGTGAGGAACGAAACAGACAAAGATTACAGCAAGGCAGTTTCAATCTCAGCCCACGCTCCTCTTTCAAATGAAAAACGAATTATTTCACATATGGACCCAACTGAAATAATCCAGGCAATGCCAGACGACTTCTCAAAGGACACAGATGACACAGAAAAGTTTCACTTCTTTGGAGAGCAGGGATTTGACTCTATCAAACTTGAATCTTCGGTATTCAGAGTTGCTATCAGAAATAAGGAAATTGTTATCTTTGAAATAAAAAAATCCTCTTTACAGAAGATTAATTTCAAAACAGAGCTTGCACCCGAGATCTACCGTTTTATCCACCAAATCACAAGCTCAAAAAAATTTAATCACGGGCGGAGCAAAAAGTTCGGCCCTATCACGGTTTCTTCGGTGCTCAACAGATCGGGTTGTTATCTGATGATTGCAAAGGAAAAGGGTGGTTACGTTCTAGTCCCCCAGGGCCCACATAACTCCAAACTCAATGTTTTTATGAGATTATTTGCTAATTTTGTTGGATTATGTTATTCAGAGCAGGAAGAACCAATGCATCAGAAGAATGAGACCTCGACTGACACTCAAGAAATCTCCATTTCAAAACTCATATTTAACTATGAAGTTCAGAGAGCTTATGGCGAGAAACAACAACCCCTCTATTTTGAGAAACAACCCCAAACTCCACTAATAGAGGCTTACTCTGATGCCTCAGACGACTTTGATCCTTCAGATGACTCTTTCTTCTCAGACGATTTTCTGGGACACGCAACCGAAAGTGATCGTCGTCCTCCTATTTCAAACAAGGATGAAATTAGGAACTCTAAATTCAACAGATCGATTTGTCGGAAATCAAAGCTGGTCACCAATGAAAATTGCCTGCCAACAGATAACCTGAACACTCAACTCAAAATCTACAGGAAATCTCAAAAGAACAAAAGGCGGCATAGCATGATGACTAGATCACTGTCCAGAGATTTCCCTTGGGTCTAGTTTTTGTCTTTACATTTTCTTTTCTTTTATGTAGTTTTTTTACTTTATTTATTTTCCCGCATTGTACTTTATTTTTCTATGAATAAAATCTATAATTTTGAAAAAAAAATATAAAAAAAAATAACTACGAAAAATATTTGAGTGGTTTCAATTATGATATGCGTGCATCCATCCCTGCACTTCACGCAGAATCAATTTATTGCAGTCCTGCACAGCACTTTAAGAAAGTAGATGAAGCAAAATCATTTCTAGCCCAAAGCTATTCATGATATGTAGATTCTTCTTTTTCAATCATAAACTTTCATTTTAAAAATCCAATATGTAGCTTATATTTTGAAGAGAATAATTTTATAATTTTTTGCTGGATAGAATCATTACTTCGAAACTGATTAAAAGAAGATATATGTTAGACCGACTGTTGTTATTAATTTATTATCATTACTAGTGTAGTACATGTGCAATGCACGGGATATTAATTCTCTAATTATATTCCAAATGATATAAAATAAAATTAATTCTAATAAATAAAATATAAATTAATTTCAAAATATTGCCTGTTGTATCTCGATTGATTTAAAACTTTTGATTTTCACCCACTTCTTTTTCCTAGAAGTTGGTGGCATATGTGAAAATGAAATTAGGGAAAAATTCGTTAAAGAAGTGCGTTGAGCATTAAACTCTAGGGAGATTTCCCTAAATATGACTAAATGAAAGGATAATTGCAACCATAGGAGCTCAATTATTAAATTCCCAATATAGGACTAACTCTTCCTATTCCACCCTTTCCCTTGTCCTTCCTAATAGATTTTTTCTATTAATCATTATAAAACATAAAATATCAAAATAAATAAAATTAAAATCACTAAAAAAATAAAAATATACAGACCTCAACAACCACCACCTTAATCACCTTTTAGCACCACCATCTCTGGTCGCTGGAAAAGGTCGCCAAGTTGGGGAAAAAATGTTATCCTAATGGCAATTCTGAAAAAAAAAAGCTGAATATTTTCAAAGAGTAAAAATGTCATCCTTATGGCATTTTTTTACACAAAATTTAATTTTTTTCTCGACGATCGGAGATGGTGGTGTTGGGTGACGGAGGATGCATAGGTAGTGTACTACATATTTTTAATATTTTATTTAACTTTTTTAATATTTTTATGGTATTTTATTTTCCCCCAATTTTTTATTAATTTATAAATATTTTTATGATTTTAATGTTTTTATTATAAATAAAACTATGATTTTTTGTATTAATAAATGAATCTATTAGAAATTACAGGTTGTGGGTAGAATAGGAAGAAGAGTCATATATTTCTCTTACTTTGGGAATAAATTGAGTAGAGTCGTAGTGTGGAATAAATTTAGTCCCACTAGTATTTCACCCGTGCGATGCACGGGTGAATATCTGGTCCAAATGAAAAAAATTAAAAAGTCATTCAATAATTAATTAGGATTGTTTATTACAATAATCATAATTATTACATTTAGCATAGTTTTAAATTAGTTTTTGAACATTTTAAAAACTAAGTGAAATGTTTATTTTAGAAATCAAGTATAAATATAAATAAGAATGGCTATATCTTTACATGGGACGTTGCTATATTCATATTTACAAAAAGAAATAGCCTAAAGTAAGCCCGCATGGTATTTTCTGGACACGAAGGCAAACATTTATAATATCCATTAAAGCAAATTAAGCAACTATATTGAGAAATTAGGGGCAGAGCCGATACAAAGAATATTTATGAAATATTTTACACAGAATTTTTTACCATACAAACTTGGACATTTTTAAAATTTGGGCTGGGCCAGGGTCAGGGTTGTCCCTCCCCTAGCTCCGCCCCTGTGAGAAATCTTGTCTCGATTTATCAATACTACAATTGTATTCTTTAAATATTAAAAGAAAAATGAAAAGAGGTGGATTTATGATCAAATGAGGGCAATGTTTAGCATGAAAATGTAAAAACATCATGTTACTCCAATGTGATGCATAATGAGGCTTGAGGCGTGCACAATGCATTTATTCGTATTAAGAATAATATTTACCAAAATTTCACTGAGATTATTGATATTAGCTTGCTTTGAGCAAAATGTGTTTGTTCACGCTTTCAAATTAAGCATATTTCTCACTGAACCCACACCTAAAAAGTGTATGTAAATATCATAATCACGATTGGTTACAAATATGCTTTCATTCAAACTACAATTTAAAAATATGACATTTACTTCACATATGCAATCTTATTTAGATAGAATAAATTAAATTAAATATTCATGTAAGGTAAACAAAGCAACTCAGTCTGAACCTGTATTTTAGAGATGCATGCAACCCATTTTTAAATTTGTGTTAACTAACGTCCTAGTCTATAGAGTAAATGAAAAAAAAAACATCCTAATCAATCCCATAAGCTCTTCATTTAGGGGGTGTTTGGAACTCATTCTGCTTCTGCTTCTCTTTTAAAAGCAGAAGCAGAATCAGAATCAGTTTTCAGAAGCTGGTACCCCCCAGCTTCTAAAAAAACTGATTCTGAGAGTAAATTAGAGCTCCAGAAGTGCTTCTGGAATTTCACCCAAACACTCCAGCTTCTGCTTCTGCTCCCTGAAGGAGCAGAATCAGTTTTGAGAATCAGATCCAAACACCCCTTAGTATCCCAAACCGCTTCATCTCCCACTGCACATTGTTCTCCAGCTCCATTGAATCTCCCAAACCGCTTGATCTCCCACTGCATATTGTTCTCTTCTCATGGCGCATTATTATCAATTTCGCACTGCACATTCCATCTCATTACTATCATATTCGCTGCAAATTTTGATTTAGTGCTCTGCGTAAATTCATTGTAATTTTTTTATTGTAGTGGGATTCACGCGAAGGGTTGTGAGAACTCCTTGAATAAATGACAATCGTTTCAATCCCCTGCCTCAAACGACCTCCTTATCTGGATTTGCAGGATACTTTTAATTTTGATTTTTTCAAATTACGGAGTATGAGATAGAGGGAACTCAATATGTTCTTGTTAATATCTTTTGGAATTTCACATACTCTCCTCCCAGTATTTAAAAGTTTCTTACACTTTCCTTTTTGGGATGTATTTAAAAGTTCCCTACACTTCCCTTTTTGGTAAATTTATCCTTTATCTACTTTTTATCTTCACTTTCATACTTTTACACACTCTTTCTAATTTTTCTACACTATTCATTGCTCTTACTATTCTATATTAAAATATTGTGTCAAAAGTATTATTCTTGTTTTCTTGATTTTACGAAGGTGCCTTGTTCAGGAAAAATGGGCGCCCCAATAAAGGTTCCTATTCTAGAGGCTTTTCGGAAAGTACAGATCACATGCTATGCTATACTCCTTCCATATTCTAAAGTTTATTATACTTTTGAGTTTGTTATACTTTTCTTTTTTGGATTTATTTAAAAGTTTGCTATATTTTTCTTTTTTTGGTAAGTTTTTTCCTTTAAAAATACTCAATTACCTTTACTTTTTCTACTTTTTATTTTCTCTTTCATACTTTTCCGCCTTCTCTCCTACTTTTTCTACATTGTTCATTACCCCTATTATTTCACCTTAAAATGTTGTTTTCAAACCTAATGTAGAAGACATTGGAATACGGAGGGAGTATTAGTTCTCTGTATTCTTTTTTATTTCTTTTCAGACTTCGTGAACAAAATAATATTTCCGAATCAAAACTAATTTACATCTAGAACTTCAGCGTGTTGTTATTTAGAGAGAAGCAAATTCTGCCAGTTGGAATGAACATTCAAGAAATTCTCAGGCGATGCCTTTGAATTAAATCTGATCAGTAAATCATTTTAGATTGTACTCCGTGTTGTATAATGTTTGTTATATCAATACTTATCAATTAATTATGTCATTTTTTAACTGTAATAAGTATACTTCGTTAATTGGGGGGGGGCTTTATTGGAACTACGAATTTGTTAATGATCAGACTGTTTCTCTTTCGCCTAGCTCTACTCCTTTATAAAGTGCTCATTTAGTCTTTTTATTTGAAAATAAAGGATCAAACATGCAATCTATTATCTATTAGACTATTAACAATAAGGATCAACTTAAAACAAAAAACAAAAAAATACCTCTTTCACTCTTTGTCATGATCGATTATGTGTTCGTAGAATCTGGGGTATGAACCAATAATCATGTGCAGTACCCTTCAAAACACGCTTTGTGTGCACCTTAAATGCCCATATCTTAAAGCACCTTAAATGGCAACTTTATTGTTACTCTTCTATGTTGAACGTATTTTGATGAGAAGAACCTCTACTCAATGATTCTTACATCTGTGTGTGTCTTATATACTGGTTTACCGTGCTTAGAATTTGGTAATAAAGGCCCGCTGGAGAATGGGGCAACCAAACGTGTGGAGTATGGAGTATTGGTTATTCTTTTAAAGTAACTGCCTTTATTATGACATTATATTAAATACGGAGTAATATGTCTCTTAAACTCAGCCGCATTAATTTATTTCTCAGGAACTTTCTAGTTACTACTTACTACTCCTCATCATTACGTTCTAAACAATCCCCTCGGTTGCAGCTTTGCTCTTATGTTTCCTTTTGGCGGGAGCTTCTTCAAGAAGATTTCTTTTGCTTTTATATATTATTAATAGATATTAATAGATTAATAGATTTAGGGTCAATAGCCATAAAGTCTAATGTGAAAAGGAAAAATAAATTGCAGCTATATATTATTCCTATGTATATCATACATTCGGATTCAAGGATATTAGCATGAAAGCAAATGATATATTATTATAGAAAGTGAGGATATTTACTGCAGGCATTGAGACACTAAAATATCATTGCCAAATTATTTATAGTCATTATTACTCTCTTTATTTGAACAATATCAGTATATCACATCCACTTATTGGCCGCCTAATGTATATAATTTTTACCGAGATTCTTTTTTGGTGACAACTCCGGTACCTTTCTAAAAACAGGGGTACTGTACCTAACATTCATTTGATTGGACCACATCACTTTATAAATTTTAATTTAGATTTAAATAATTCAACTGGTACCTTTTCATTGGTCCATGTGAACAAATGTATGGTACCTCATGGGTACCATAGAAACTGCCATTATTTATTTATATATGTTTCAAACATATGGGTTTGTAATGAATACTTAAGCATTATTAATACTTTAATACTTCACCAACAAAAATCCACTTCTTTGGGCGGAAAATATGTTCTACCTGATTTCCCACCTTATCTCTCTATAATCTAAAGCATGTAAGGATGTTAGCATGGCTCATTTACCGTTTGAACAGTCCCCTTCCGTTACTCATTTTTGCCGCAACCCACCCAAACGGCTTCCTCCGTTTTCTTCCCCTTCTATTTTCCTCTTCGCAGGTCAAATGGATTTCGGACCGTGTGTGCGCAAACCTAGCTGCTGCGGACAGGGATCGTTCGCGCACTGTGGATGTTTTTCCTGCAAGATGGAAATCTCTCTTCTCTCTCGTTTGTGTTTCGGTTTTGAGAGCTCTTTTCATTTGCCGAAGCTGCCTAGCCTCCAGTCTTCCGCTGATTCACGCTCTTCGCGCTCCAGAAGTTTGGAAGTTCGTCAAAGAAATTCTCCGGCATACAACCATTATTCAGAATCTGAGCCCTCGATTAAGGAGGAGGAGACATAGTATACGGAGAAGGACACATCCCTGGACATTTTTCTTTCGGAGGCTGCCCAACAATCGTTGATTGTCATGTTGCTGCAACCGATTATCAAACAACTCGGGTAACCTATCTTCCTCATTAATTATACCGTAATTTGCTGAAATCAGTAAAGCATTAGCCTGAAGCTTTGTCATGCATTTGAGTATGTGTTTCTTCTGCATAATACTGATGGTGAGGTAAGCCCCACAAAAAGACTACCTCTGTTTTTTGAGTTAAGCTTTTGAATGGTAGTTAAACAATAACAGGGGAAAGTATTCTGTCTGAATATGAATCGGTCATATGATATCTCAATGAAATGGATAAGAGAGGGAAATACATGTTAGCAATTGAGGATCCTTTTGAATGTGCTTTAGAAAATCTTGAATTACACCCCCCAATTTCCATTTTAGGGATTCATGATATGTTGACATATGGGATTCTTGTATGACATTAATTTAATTATTATCTTATATGATTAAAGAACTTAAGAGCGTCTTTATTTTATTTTTTTAAATTGGTGTTGCAGATTAGTTTTACACCATATTCTATGTCCTTTGTGTACAGAAGTTTTAATGATCAGTTAAAATTGCATTTATAGGGTGATGGCTAGAAAGTAGTTTCAAATTATGAAGGAAACTTCCCCAATAGGATTAAACAACTTCCCTTGGATAGACATTTTGATATGAACAACTTCAAGAGGGTGTGTCTCTATCACACCCTAAAACTAAATTGTTTACAATTCAATGTTCCTTCTCTCTGGTGGGTTATGTGACTGGTTTACTTATTTCCAGATTGTACTAGAAGCTAATGGTTATCAACCTTACCTCATTTGCCCTGAAAAAGAGTTAAGATATTTAATAAAAGGAGGATTAAAGAGCCTTTTTCCAGATTGTACTAGAAGCTCATTGAAGGCTCTGGGAAAGCATATGTGATGCTCCCTAATGGGACAAAATTACTTATAAATGACGCTTTATACTCCAGCAAATCGCGGAGAAATTTATTAAGCTTTAAAGATATGCGTCAAAATGGTTATCACATAGAAACCATGAATGAAAACCAAAAGGAATATCTTTGTCTAACGACAACTAAATCTGGCACTAAATGTATTTGTGAAAAAATGTCAGCATATTCTTCAGGACTATATTTCACTCATATTAGTCCATTCAAAATAAATTTGGTTTCTAACGCAAAGTTAGATGATCAGAAAACATTCATGTTGTGGCATGACCGTTTAGGTCACCCAGGCCGTGTAATGATGCATAAAATCATTAAGACTTCACTTGGACACCCATTAAAGAATATAAGGGTTCCAATATCAAGGGATTTTCCTTGTAAGGTCTGTTCTCTTGGCAAAATGATCATCAGGTCCTCTATTAACAAAATTGCAACTGAATCACCTGCATTTTTAGAAAGGATTCAAGGAGATATTTGTGGACCGATAGCCCCGCCATGTGGACCATTTCGATATTTTATGGTGTTGATTGATGCTTCAACACGTTGGTCACATGTTAGTCTTTTATCGACTAGAAATTTAGCATTTGCTAAACTCCTTGCTCAAATTATACGATTAAGAGCTCATTTTCCGGATCATTCTATAAAGAGAATCCGACTTGATAATGCAGGAGAATTTACATCCCAAACATTTAACGACTATTGTATGTCGATTGGGATTGATGTGGAGCACCCTGTTGCTCATGTCCATACACAAAATGGTCTTGCTGAATTTTTGATTAAACGATTACAATTAATCGCTAGACCATTATTAATGAAGTGTAATTTACCTTCATCAGCTTGGGGACATGCTATTTTGCATGCAACAAATTTAATTCGGCTTAGACCGACTGCGTATCATGAATATTCCCAATGCAATTAGTTACTGGACAAGAGCCAAACTTAGCACACATAAAGATATTTGGTTGTGCTGTTTATGTTCCGATTGCTCCACCTCATCGTACAAAAATGGGTCCTCAAAGAAGGTTGTGAATTTATGTTGGATTTGAATCGCTCTCAATAATAAAATATCTTGAACCAATGACTGGTGACTTATTCACCGCACGGTTCGCTGACTGTCATGTCAATGAGACAGTATTCCCAACCTTAGGGGGAGAAACTAATTAAATCGGACCCAAGTACGAAAGAAATAACATGGAATGCAACAGGATTATCACACTTTGATTCTAGATCAAATATATGTGAGCAAGAGGTGCAAAAGATAATCCATTTACAAAATGTTGCAAATCAGTTGCCTGATGCATTCACAGATACAAAGAAACTGACAAAGTCACATATTCCTGCTATGAATGCTCCTGCCAGAATCGAAATTCCAGTAGAGAATTTTGAAAGATCTCTTGCCAAGGATTCTTTTATACGCAAAAAGCGTGGCAGGCCACTTGGACCAAAAGACATAAAACCAAGAAAAACTAAAAGGCAGGAATTGATCTGTGATGCCAAAGATGTTCATCCTTATGAACAAGAACATGAACAATTTGAAAGTACTGGCATAGAAAATGATATTGACAAAACAAACATCTCATATGACGATCCAACTTCCTTAAATGAGGAAGATATTCCAGATAATGATAGAAACGTTGATAATTATGAAATTTCAATAAATTACGTTTCTACTGAAATGCAATGGAATCGAAAAGATATTGATATTAATGAGATATTTGTCTATGCCGTTGCCACAAATGTAATGAATGAAAACAATGACAATGAGCCAACATCAATTGAAGAATGTCGGAAACGACACGATTGGCCAAAATGGAATGAAGCTATTCAGGCTGAATTAAAATCACTTGAAAAACATGATGTTTTTGGACCGAAGTCCCTACGCCCAAAGGCGTAAAACCTGTGGGTTTTAAATGGGTATTTGTGCGTAAACGCAATGAAAAGAATGAAATTGTTAGATATAAAGCCCGACTTGTTGCCCAAGGTTTTTCTCAAATACAGGGAATCGATTGTGAAAAAACCTATTCTCCAGTAGTTGATGCAACTACATTAAGGTTTCTCATTGGCATGTCTGTTTTTGAAAGGCTGCAAATGCGCCTAATGGCTGTAGTGACTGCATATTTATACGGTTCACTCGATACAGACATTTATATGAAAGTTCCCGGGGGATTTAAAATGCCTGAAGCTTATAGCTCGAAACCTCGAGACATGTTTTCCATTAAACTACAAAAGTCATTGTATGGACTAAAACAATCTGGACGAATGTGGTATAATCGTCTCAGTGAATACCTTCTCAAAGAAGGATATAAGAATGATCCAATTAGTCCATGTGTTTTCATTCGGCGATCAAATTCGGGATTCGTCATAATTGCAGTATATGTTGATGACTTAAACATTATTGGAACTCCCGATGAAATTGAAAATGCTGCAAAATATCTTATGAAAAAAATTGAAATGAAAGATCTCGAGAGAACCAAATTTTGTCTCGGACTTCAAATCGAGCATTTGAATAATGAAATTTCATCCACCAATCCAATTACACCGAGAAAGTGTTGAAGAGATTCTATATAGACAAAGCTCATCCTTTGACTTCACCAATGGCCATTCGATCTCTCAACATACACGATGATCCATTCCGTCCACGAGAAGACGACGAAGAAATACTCGGTCCCGAAGTACCATATCTGAGTGCAATCGGAGCTTTAATGTATTTAGCTAATAATACTAGACCAGATATTGCATTTT